AAGTTTACCAATAAGAAATAGAACTAAAAGATAAAGGAGGGATAAAGAGGAAATGCATAGAATTAAGATAATACTAGAGAATTTTGTTAATATTTACATGAAACTTTATCTTAACTAAATTAAGATAATCAGTTGATAAGAAGAAGAAGAAGAAGAAGAAGAAGAAGAAGAAGAAGAAGAAGAAGAAAAACTAAAAGATAAAGGAGGAATAAAGAGGAAATGCATAGAATTAAGATAATATTAGAGAATTCTTTTAATATTTACATGAAATTTTATCTTAACTAAATTAAAATAATCAGTTGATAGAAAAAGAAGAAGAAGAAGAAGAAGAGAATATGTCATAAAGTTACGAAAGAGGATGATGTCAAGGAAGAAGAAGAGATGGGAAGGAGAATATGCAAATTAAAAAAAAAACCACAAAAAAAAAAAGAACCAAGAAAGGACTTTCTTGTAAATGGAAGATGAATTGATGAAGTTAAGACTCAGGAAGATGATGAAGTCAAAAGATAATGGAATTACAAAGAAAATTAGGGGAAAAGGTAATCAGTAGGTACAGAGCTTCATGTTTCTGTCCTAATTGGAGTCAAAATCCAATTTAAACCCTTAATGCTTCTATATTTTTTGTCATTTTAAAAAAGCGATCGCTTCAACATCAAAGCACTTTTATCGCTTCACTTCGCTTCAGTCGTTTTGAGATCGCTTCTTTTAAGGGGAGTGCTTCAAAGATTTTGAAGCAATGGTGCCTCTAATCGCTTCGCTTCATTGCTTTAACTGGTGAAGCAATCGCTTTTGACAACACTGATAATTAGTTAACAAAATTAATAAAATGTTAAAAAGTGAAGAATGTTTTCTTTAAATTTAATAAGTAAAAGACTAAAAGTCTCATAAAATAAGATAAGGATTAAAATTTATAAATTTAGTAAAAAAATAATTAACAATATCATAATATAAGATAAGATGTTAAAACCTTCAAATTTTATAAAGTAAAAGACTAAAAATAAATTTTTGCATCTATGTTTCATGTAGTAATCTTCCTTCCTTTTGTTATTTATTTTAACTGTTTTGTTCATTGAAAGGGCGGGTCAGTGAGCAGTTAAAAGAAATAACAACATGATTCCATTAAAAAAAAAAAAAGAATTAATAACAAAATAAAGATTAAAACTTGGAATTGTAACTCTGAATGGAAGTACCATTTCCAGCACAGCCCCACAAAACAAACCACACAACCTCAGCGGTCAGCCCAAAAGATTCAAACTTTTTAGACATTCTAATACATGCAAGTGAAGGGTAAGTTACCTTGAAGCCCAGGAACAGAGATAGAACAATGGCCGCCAAAACACTGATGGTAGCAAGAAAAGTCTGGGTATCTAAGGGCCTGTGAATTAAGCCTTGTGGGTTGATCAAAGAGCTCTCTCCAACTGCAACAGCGACGACACAGATTGGGAATTTCCTATCTGGCGAAATTATTTGGGTGAGATGACGAAGATGAGGAGGGTAAGGGGCCAAACATGGAGAAAGAGAGACGTGGTCAAGTGAAGCTCTTAGGGGGGGTAAACGTGATGGTGCTCTATTTCCAAAAAAATAAAATAAAATAAAATATTGGTGATCAGTTTAAGATCGGGAATTTGAACCCGACGTGAATCGAACACGCAACCTTCTGATCTGGAGTCAGACGCGCTACCATTGCGCCACGGATCCCATTAGTGGGGTGAAAGGTTAGATAGGTACTTTATGCTTACTTCATGAGAAGGCTTTCTTCCAATTGCTGCTTTGAAGGACTTGGTTTGGACCTTGGCATGGCATATACAGAAACAGAGGAAGTTTAAAGGAATAATATAAACTCAAACATCATTCACTATCTTAGGCACACAACTTTACATAATAGGAATTATGATTGATTTCTTTTACGAAGGACATATGAATCTTGTATTCCGAGTGACACAATTGCAGAGAGAGTGTTTCTGTAATGTTAGCTCTCCTCATAAAGAAAACATGCTCAATGAGAAAATTGCCTACCCAAAATCCAATTCATATCCTAGACTTGCAATGGTCCTAGGATTGCCATCTCAAGGAAAACCATTTGGAAACCCATAATCAGTACAAAAGAGAAAACAACAAATTGCTCATTAACATTAACCAACAGTCCAGCCTTACCAATAACAAGCAGGAAAAGTCAATCTTAGAATTATACAAGACAATACAAAACGCATGAGCTCCCTCCTTCAGCATATCAAAGAACAACAGTCAAGGACTACTGTAATTATTCATCATGCATGCATCATCTTTTGTTACAAATAGGAGACTTGTGTTAAGTACAGACATGGTCCAAATAAATGTGTACACAGAGATAAGAGATCCATCTTCTTTGTGGTGTGGGGATCCAGATACCTGGTATGTACCTGGAGCTTAGCCG